ATAGGGCCAGCAGGCACAGTTGGCATTTGATTAATGTTTATTGAACGAACAAATATTTCCTTCTAGCCTTTTCATGCATACATTTGCTTGTTTGTTAACAAAGGGGGTCCATACTGTACATTATTATATTCTATTATTTCCTGAGGCTTTTCTCATATCAAATATCTTTGTAGTCTAAAATATGCTGTTTTTTGGGGGTGCCTGGCTGGCTCCGTCAGAGGAGCATGCCACTCTTGATCCCGGGGGTTGTGAGTACAAGTCCCACATGCAATGTACAGATAACAAAAAAAATTTTTTTCATTTGTTTAACGTTTATTTATTTTTGAGAGAGAGAGAGTGCGAGTGGAGGAGGCTCAGAGAGACAGGGAGACACAAGATCTGAAACAGGCTCCAGGCTCCGAGCTGTCAGCACAGAGGCCAATGCGGGGCTTGAACTCATGAACCGCCAGATCATGACTTGAGCCGAAGTCACCGACTGAGCCACCCAGGCACTCCCCCCAAATTTTTTAAATATGTTGGTTTTTCTTAAAACATAATGTTCCATCCGATATCATATTTCGTTTAACCATTTTCCTATGCAAATGAAATAATATAGTATGTCTTATTTTGTATCTCGCTTCTTTTGTTCCCCACAATGTTTTTGAGATTCATCCATATTGTTGTATGTACCAGTAATTATTTCTTTTATTAGCTGAGTAGTATTTCATTGTTTGAATAATCACTGCTGTCAGGTAAAACACCTAAGAACAGAATTACTGAGTCATAGAGTAGGTGTATATTTAACTTTATAAGAAACTTCCCAATGGTTTTCCAAAGTAGGTATAGCATTTTACTTTCCCATCAGTAACGTGGGAAAGTTGCAGTTGCTCTCACCCTTGCCCAACACTTGGCACTGAGAATCTTTTTTTGGTGGGGCACCTGGCTGGCTCAGTCTGAAAAGTATGCGATGCTTGATCTTGGGGTCATGAGTTCAAGCACCATGTCGGGTGTAGAGATTACTTAAATAAATAAAAAAATTTTTTTTAAACTGTATTTTATTTATTTTTAAAGGGCTTTAACTCATGACCTTGAGATCAAAAGTCATATGGTCTACCGACTGAGCCAGCCAGACACCCCAGTATTGAGAATCTTTAGTTTCAATTACTCTAGTTGGCTAGTGAAGTGGTATCTCAATATGGCCTATTTTACATTTTCTTGATGACAAATGATGTTGACAGAATCTTTTCATTGGCCATATGTAATCTCTTCTCTATTGATACTGACAAATCCTTTCTAGAGAAGTTGTGCTAATTTGTAATTCTGCTAACAGTGTCACCTTTTCAAAATGTTTTCCTATTTGCTATGTGAAAAATGGCATCTTGTTTTAAATTGATTTTTTTAATTTCTTCTGAAGTTGAACATTTTTAATGTTTATTCTTTTATAAACTCTTTGCTTATGGCCTTTACCCATACTTGTCGAGTTCTTCTTTTGAATAGTGAAAGTTCTTTATCTTGACTTCCAAGATGCAAATATCTTCCTGCTTTTGTGCCTTTTAATTGTGTTTATCTTTTTCAAGTAGTCAAACGTAACATTCCTTTGTGATTCCTTTCAGTACTTTTAAGCTTAGAAAGTCCTTATCTGAATTAACTAAGTTGTTTTTGATCTGATAAATAGGGGGAGGGAGCATCAGTATCTGTTGGCATCTATTAGCTCTGGAGTTACGCCAATCAACCAAGTAGGATAACTTCTTCATTTTCTTCCAGGTTTTTTTCTTTTACTTTTGCATGTAACTATTTTTTTTTTTAAAGATTCTTTCTCTTTTAAAAATGTTTATTTATCTGTTTTTGAGAGAGGTAGAGAGAGAGAGAGCGCGCACAAGCAGGGGGAGAGGGCAGAGAGAGAGAATCCCAAGCCGGTTCCACCTTAGTGCAGAGTCCCGCATGGGGCTGTAAGATCAGGACCTGAGCCATAAACCAAGAGTTAGCCAACTGAGCCACCCAGGCGCCCTTCGACGTAACTCTTTAAACAAGATTCACTTTATTTTGATATTATGTTGTGGCTCCAACTTGAGATCCAAATGGTAACTTTTCCACTACTACTATTATTATTATTGAAAACTCCATCTCTTCACATTGGTTTGCAATGTTTTCTTACCATTTTTTGTTTTTTAGCTATGTTCTTCAGATGAATTTTAGCCTCTACTATGCTGCAGGCACCACTTTAGTTTTGACCTTTAAAGATTTGCTCTGTTTGATAGAAGTGTGGTGTTCTCATTACTTTCTTTTTAATGATTTTTTAAAAGTTTATTTATTTTGAGAGAAAGAGAAAGCACAAGTGGGGGAGGGGTGGACAGAGAGGGGGGGAGAGAGAGAGAATCCCAAGCAGGCTCCACACCATCAGCGTGGAGCCTGACGGAGGGCTCAAACCCACAAACCATGAGATCATGACCTGAGCTAAGTCACACACTTAACCGACTGAGCCACCCAGGTGCTCCAACTTTTTTTTTTCTTAAGGTTTTTGTTTATTTATTTTTAGAGAGAGAGAGTGTGCGGTGAAGGGGCAGAGAGAGAGGGAGAGAGAATCACAAGCAGGCTCCATTGCTGTCAGTACAGAGCCCAACACAGGGCTTGAACCCATGAACCATGAGATCATAACCTGAGCGGAGGAGTGCCTGGGTGGCTCAGTTGGTTAAGTGTCCAATTCTTGATTTTGGTTCAGGACATGATCTCAGGGTTGGTGAGTTTGAGCCCCAAATCAGGCTCTGCACTAACAGGACAGAGCTGTTTAGTATTCTCTCTCTGCCCCTTCCCTGCTTGTGCTCTCTCTCTCTCTAAAAAATAAATAAACATTTTTTAACAATTAAAAAGATAGCTTTAAAAAAACAAAAATTAAAAAAAATGATCTGAGCTGAAACCAAGAGTTGGACGCCTAACTACCTGAGCCACCAAGGGGGCCCACTCATTACTTCTTAAATGAAGAACTTCTCAGGATATCTGAACAATTCTCTTGGGTGAAAGCCTTAAGTTAAGACCCAAGAAAACAGTACTAAATTAAATCCAGCTTCCAAAGTGCTCCTACCTTGTTGGGGTTGCTATGAATGGCCTTAGGTCAAAACTGCCAGGCATAATTCAAGGGATGCCTCCAATGTATACCCCCCAGATCTCCTCCCAATACATAAATCTATATTAATGGAGATTTAGGCTTTAACCCTTATAATCTTTTAGTTAGAGGCTGTCCAAAAAGACTTTGTGCTATGATGGAAATGTACTATGCTACCATGTCCAATAGGGTAGCCACTAGCCACAGAGTTATTGAGCGCTTGAAATGCACTTGAGGAAATGAATATTCAAATTTTTAATTCTATGTAACTTAAATGTGTATAACCACAAATGACTTATTGGCCACCATTATAACTGTTAAGACTGGTTTGACTCTGTTTCTTGTATCTCGGTTTCAATATTGCATTATCATTGCCAAACTCAAAATATTTTTGACCTTGCTGGAAGCTATACTCAGTGAGGGAAGGCGGTCATAGTTTCTACTCTAGACTTACAATGTAAGGAAAGAAAAGGTCGGTTTTTAACCCAGAGATGCGCTAGATTATTAAGACTCTAGAGACTTGCCCATCGTGTTCCACAGTAAGCATGAGCGGGGCAAACAGGTACTGTGTCACTGTGTCAAAGGGGAAGAGGTGTTGCTTCTAGCAGAGTAGGGGACACGCAGAGCATAATTATAAGGTCAGTTCCTTGCACAGTGGAGGTCTGGCTCAGGGGCTCCCTGGAGCGGCTGCCCTCCTTCTGTTAGAGGTGGCAAGGAAGTGAGGAGGCCACCGAGCCTCCTCTCAGGCCACTTGGAATCTGAGTCCCCGCCCCCCCTCCCCCCGTCCTGGACTGGAACTGGCACGGACACGAACGTACTTCTTACAATACTAACTGCACTCAACAAATGTGAAAACTGAAATCAGGTCTTAAATGGGTTTGATGAATCGGGGGAGATAAA